GAAGCATGGATATAATAAGGAAAGCTTGGTTGGTGACTCTAAGGTAGTCTTTTCCTCATGGCTGGACTCAAAAGAACAGAGGGGAAAGCCGTAGAGATGCAAAAAGATGGAAGGTGGTTAAGAAGCTTAATATCACCCATGATGTGCTAGTATAGGTCAATTCCTCTAGAAAAACAAAAGACACAATGCCACAAGTCCATAGAGAAAAATGATCACTATGGCGGAAGACTCCAAAATTTGCTAATCTAAGAGTGTGTATAGAATGAGACATGCTTATCAAAGAACACACAATCTGAAATGAGTAATAACTACAGAAAGCATACACATATTAACATGTAATGGATATTCTCATCGATTCCAATATGTACCAAGGACTTCTCAAAAATTTCAAGTTTGCAAAACCATACTAAGAAAATCTTTTTGGATTTTTTTTTTCTCTCTAAAATAAAGCAAGACATAAAATGAGCAAGGACACACTAAATGATACCACACATTAAATGACCCAAAAAGAAAAAAATATACAAAAACTCAAAAACTAAAACGAATAAACAAATTAACACAAGTCAAGTTTTCTCACTCAAACCGCTTTAGCATGAATAAAGTTGTGAGAATTGCGGTTCTTGGATGGTGTCTTGATATTATGGTTCCCATCCCCTTCAATGGGAACCTATCTCGACTTGGTTTCCAACTTCTTATATCTAAGTCGAGGCAAATGTAAACTCGCTCCATGTTCGGTCTCAAGCACATCAAAATAGCAAGGTCTATTATGACCCTTAACCACATTACGACCAATGAAGTGTCTCTTATCCCACGAGATGTTGGAATTTCTTCTATCTCTATGAGACACTCTCCCATGCAGCTCATAACAATAAGGGCGAATATGACCATACATACCACAATGATGACAAATAAAAACAGGGTGTGTAACAACCCGAAAATTTACATTGTCCCTTAAATTTTATATTAATATTATTTAATTATAAATAAGAAAAACCCCAAATGTTTAATTAAATACTTTGTAAGAATAAAATAAAGTATTGAACGATATAAATATGTGATAAAATGAAATGTAATTAGGGATTAAACAAGAAAAAATGGTATATAATAGTTTAAGAATTGTGTCAAATTAGAGTTTAAAAAAAAAACGGATAAACATGAATTAAGTGATAAGAATGCCACGTGTAGGAGCTGGGGCTGGCTTGGTGCCCACGGTTGCTCCCTATAAATAGGGGAGGATTTGCTTCGATTAAGAAAAGAGAAGTGAAGGGAAAGGAAAAGAAATAATAAAAGTAAAGAAGAAAGAGTGAGATATTAATTTTAAGGTAAGTTATGTTATATCTTGAGTTATCATAATATATTTTACGTATGTTTTGACTTACCATAATTTATTTTATACAAGTTGTATTTTATTAGTTATATTAATACAAGTTATGTTTTATAAATATTTCAGTTACATGGATTAATTTTTGAACTCTATTTGTCTAAAATGAGACCCATGGATATGTTTGTTTAAATTTTAAAGAATATTTGATTATAACCTTATAAACAATTATGTTTTGTAAGTACCACTACGAGAGTCTCACGCCTTGGGGGACTTAAATAACTATTGGCCTCTGTTTGGTCACTTTGTGGGCCTCTATTGTCATGGATCTATTGATCTCTGTTCTGTGCGGAGCAAAGTGCTATGTGGAGATATGTGCTACACTATTGTGGGAGCCACCTCTATAATTCGTACAAGCCACCTCTTGAATCTGTATCTCTGTTCTGACTGTCACTCATGTGACCTCTGTTCTGTTTTGTTCAGTACCGTGATTATGATTATTTATTTACATAATCTCAATTTTGCTATCTACATGATTATTTGTTCAGACAAAGTTATCTTAAATATTTTAGTTACATAACTATCCGTGATTATTTTGTGTCTCTTATGCTTTTGGCATAATATTTCTCACTCTGTCATGTGCTTATAGCTGTTTACCAATATTCAAGAAACAATGCAATTCAGAAATAGCTTTTGGAAAGTCTTAGACGCGGGGCTGTGGAATAGACATACACAGCACTTTTATGATATTTTTATATGTAAATATCAGCCTTTTTGGTCAATACATTTTGTAATAAAAATAGAAGTTCCAATAATTATTTTGGTACCCTCACTTAAATATTATTTCCGCTCGCGTTTATTAATTTGATCAAGAATTGGCTGAAGATAACTTCAGTTACTGGTCATCACGACACTTAACCCTTGGGTACGAGGAGCGGGTCGTGACAGGGTGTACCTTCTTTTCTTTGAACTTACCAACTCTAGGAAGTTTGAGAAATCCATCATCATGTTGAATTTTTTGTTCTCCCTTTCCTTGAGTTCTTGTATCATGAGATGTTGATGTACTCTGTTTTTGCTTTTTCTTACCACCAAAGCCAAAGCCAATACCACTCTTGTCAGAACAGATTTGTTGAGACCTAATGATATTGTCTAAAGTCTTTGATCTTTTGTTCCAAAGACCAATGGTTGCCATAGCACACTTGAGCTCTTCCTCTTTCTTGATGATTAGCTCTTCTAAGGCACCTTGAGACATCTCGAGAGTTTCAATCTTTTCTTCATATGTTGCATAAATTTGTTGTAGCTCATTCCTCTCCGTCTCACAAGTCATGAGTTTTGTACAAAGAGCTTGTCAATCACATGAAATCTTAATGGCATCATTTCTAGCCTCAGAAATCTCCTCATTTAGTTTGACGTTCTTACTTTCACATGCTTTGAGTTTCGCTGTGAGTTTGTCATTCAATTTGGATAAGTTAAGAGACTCTTTATACAACTTTTCATAAGCTTGCTCAAGCTCTTCATCATCACTCCCCGATGATTCATCATCAGAGGCATTCTCAACCGCCTCTTCAAATACTCTGTTTGTCCTTTAGTTTTGGAAGCCACTATGAAGGCAAGGAATTGTTTATGTCCCTCTTCACCTTGATCTTCGTTATCACTTTTATCTTTATCAGATTCTGGTTCATAATCCCAAGTGATAGCGAGAGCTTTCTTCTTCCTCAAACGAGTGGGGCATTCTTTAGCAAAGTGACCAAATCCTTGGCATTCATAGCATTGGACTCTTTCAGAGTTCCCTTGTATCTTTCCTTTCTCCTTCTTGGCTATAGAATTAATTTTGAGTTTATCTTTGCCTTTGGATTTATGAGTATGAGTAGATTCCAAAAGATTAGGATTCTTTTTCAGAAATTTTTTTTAAAATTGTTTTACAAAAGCATCCGTAATCTTGGAATCTATCTCAAAATCCTCATCAGAATCCTCTCCAACTCTATGAGCACTACTAAAAGCAATAACATCTTTTTGTTTCTTTTTGAAATTCCTATGTGCCTCATAAGTTTGGAGATTTCTATCCAAATGATCCAGCTTGAGGTTGTCAACATCTTGAGCCTCCTCAATAGCCGTAACTTTTGGTTGGAACTGATCGGGCAAGGACCTCAAAATTTTTCCTACAATCTTGGATTCTGGTATTTTTTTCACCTAAATTGAAGCTGGAATTTACAATGTCACTTAATTTCGCATAAAATTCATCAAAGGTCTCACTATCTTTCATTGAAAGGTTTTCGAAACTAGACGTGAGCCTTTGAAGTTTTGAGCGTTTAACAGAATGAGTGCCCTCATGAATAGTTTATAAGATATCCCAAGCCTCTTTTGCTACTTCACAATTGCAAATACGACTAAATTCTTCAAGTGTGACAGTGCAAAAAAGAAAATTGATAGCTTTACTATTCCAGCTACTATTTTGATAATCAATTGTGTCCCACTTATCAATTGGTTTGGGGAAAGTTACTCTATCAATGGTAATTGTCGGTTCGGTCCACCCATACATGACGGATTGCCAAACTTTTTCATCAATAGATTTTAAAAACGATCTCATCCGAGCTTTTCAAAAAAAATAATTGGATCCGTCTAGTAGAGGTGGTCGAACCATAAAATTTCCCTCACGAATTGAATCCATTATCACAAATCAAACAAGATCTCGCTCTAAAAGATTTTTTTTTTAAAAAAAATAAAATAAAACGACCCACTTTGATACCAATTGAAAAATCTAGAATCCTCTAGATATTGATTTGTGATTACGTATCAATTTTAAGAAGTAAATATCAATCCCAATCAAATAATCAAGATAAATAGACACAACGATTTTAACGTGAAAAAACCACAATTAGAGCACCTCCAATTGTGATAAAAAAATCACGGGCAAAAGCCACAAAACAATCCATCAAAAAGACATAAAGGAATTACACAGGTATACTCTTAATTACCTAACAAATCCACGCCCGAATTGAATCAATCCCTTTGTGCCTCTTCCAGTCTCGTCTTCACCTCGGAATTGTTTTTCCCAACGTTGAATCCACAACGCCGATGTCGAATCACGACGATGAGCCACTCCAGAATCCACCAAAGTTTTAGGCTCGAATTCTTCAGAATCCATCGAAGAACACTCTCTCTTTTGTATAGAATAAACAAACAATCCTTTGATGTATACTTCTTAAATCATGGGTTGAATACTCAATTAAAACATCAAAGAAAACTAGCAAAATAGCCTCAGATATAAAGCCTAATATCTAAGAAGAAGATCTGGAGGCATAATCCTAAAATCTGATTGAAATACGTATTTATAGAAAACTGTCCCGCGATCTCCGCTCGAGTGCCGGAATGGCCGCTCGAGCGGGAAAAAAAATCTCCCAGTATTTTTGCAGACTATCAAACTTCTAGAACTAAGGATTCTTCGCTCAAGCGGAGAAATGTCCACTCAAGCGGACAAGCAACTTCGAAAGCAATTTTGCATTTTGCTTCGGGGGCACTGCCCCTCAACCCTACCGTGGCGTTGTCCTGAACCTGCCAAGGGGCGCTGCCCCCTGGACCCCTACGAGCTGACCAGGCAGCTCGATCCCCATCTTAGTCAGCGAAGTGGCAAACATGAAAGAATTATCTTCTGAAACTTCTCTGCAAGGCACAATTTAAATTGGATTCTTATCGAAGTACTCACAATTTCACTGAAATAAAAAAACAAATAAAAGTACAACTGACAGGAATTTTATCAAACGAGATTGTCAAAAATAAAAACCTAACAGTATTGATTCAGCAACACAACATACGTTGAAAATGTCTTTCAATAACATAGCATTAGTGAAATCAAAAAATTTTAAATCTCATTTTTCTTCTCAAAACTAAACCCATTATTGGAATAAGTTTCACTAGCATTATCAGCTCTCTCTCCAATCCAAGTTAAAATAGTCCCAAACACTTGCTCAACACTCTCATTTGGTTCACCAATGAATTGGTGCCACATACCAGTGAAGATCTTCAAAGTCTTGTCCTCACTTGCAGCTGATTCATACAACAACCTAGCTGATTTGGGATCACATATCTTATCATCCCCGCCATGCACCACCAGCAGAGGAATTTTTAACCCATGGCTGTTCCTCTTTATGTACTCACATACTCTCAGAAACTCCAGTGCAGTTGCTGCTGTCACCTGTTGGAAAATAAAATAAAATAAGTAAATGTTTTTATTTTATAATATGGTTTTATGCACTTTGTTTTCAGAAATTAGATTGCATTATGGTAGTCAATTTATGTGATCCCATTGGGGACATGTATTGTTATTATTATTACTGGATTGTGGTTTTCAATTTTATTCAATTAATCCACGGTCGTTTGGAATTCAGTGATTTTTTTATTCTAACATTTTTATTAGGTGAAAAAAAATAGAGTGTTTGAAAATGACTTAAATTGTATAAAAATATGAATAAATAGTGTGTTTGACTTGTTTTTTTAGTAGCTTTTTTATTTTTTTAGTAATTTTTTGGTTTTATGAGTTTTTTTTCTTTCTTTTGTAGCTTTTTGGCATTTTCACTTTAAAAACCAAGCCAAGTTACCAAACAACTTCTAAATCTCAACCGTTGATTTATAAGCATGTATTAAAGACTATTCCTTCGAGTAATATCTTGTTTTTCAGAACATGTGAACCCACCCAATAGTAGAGATTATATGCTTATATGACCCGAAACAAAATGAATAGTGTGGACAAATTATAAAACATTCTTAGATGGGCAACCCATATAACTTTGTAGTCTCCTCTCCTCCCAAGTTGGTTAACTAAGCATATGATATTTGATAGAGCATAATTGTGAAAAAAATTTACTTAATTGTGACACAGACTTTGTTCAATTTGATTTAATCGCACAAGTACAAGACTTAGACATGTATTTTGTACCATCAATTAACAAAAACTCAAAGAAGGGATGGTACTCTCTACGATTTCCTACAATTTCTCAAAATAGAAAGATGATGAATTTCACTTCAAGTATGTGTTAAGATTTTTTCTTCATTTTGTACATGATTCTTGTTTTTTTGTAAAAATATCAATACACAATTGATCTAACATCACCTTCCCATTGGCCGCCCGGTTCGGACTCTTCATCACCAGCCTCCTCTTCCACTCCTCCTTGTATGACCTCTTCGCCGGATCCTCCGTGATCGCTATTTTCCAAGTCGGCGCTACGAAAGCCGCCGCTGGAAGCAGCTGCTCGAGCGGCCACACCGGCTTGAATTTTTTCGAAACCCCACACATGGCTCCATTCAATATCAAGCCACTCCACTCACTATTCCTTTGTTTTAGGCACATGAGTATAGCTATTGCACCACCTAGTGACTCACCAAAAATAAAAGCTGGCAGCTTGGGATGGCTGGCTCGAGCCGAGTCAAAGAATTGGACACAATCCTCGACCACAGGCTCGATATCCGGGATGTGACCGCGAACACCATCTGAGTTGCCGTGGCCTTGGAGGTCGAGTGCACAGACGTAGAACCCGGCTTTGGCTATGGCTATGGCGGTGAGCTGAATGAGCCAGCTGCTTTCGTCGGTGTAGCCGTGGATGACAGCTATGAGCCCTCTAAGCCGTGGAGCCGAGCTGGGGAGCCAGGACTGAGTGAAGATTTTAATGTTTTGTTTGTTCAACATGAAGCTCTCTTGGTGGAGGATTTGGTGTTTGTTGTAGAAATCTTCTCTTGTGAGGTCTCCAAATGGGCTGTTTTGGTTTGCTTGGTGAATTGGGTGAGCCATTTTGTGCTTTTTTTTATTTTGACTTCTATGTTTTTGTGTCATGAAACAATAGGGAAGTATGGGATCAGGTAGTAGCTTCTTCTTCTCTCATCCCCCAACAATCCTCTCGATGGACAATAAATGAAAAAAGAGTACAAATCATGCTTCTATATGATTGTGTACATCTAGGCCATGTTTGTTTGGGCGGACTGGATTAGTATTCTCGTGACTAATAGTGCTAAAACTACGAATCCGTTAGATTATGTATCCTATCTTAACTAATAGTCAAGTTTAAAATAATTAATCCGTACTTCAATTGTTTAACCAAACATCAGATTAATAATTTTATTGGACTATTAGTCCAATCCCAAGCTCATGTCCACCCAAACAAACACGGCTCTAATGTGATCTCCTTGCGTTAGGTTTGGATTTCAATTCTCATAATATAGAAATTAGTAATTGAAATAAATACATAGACTTATGAATGTATAAAATTTTATAAAATTTATTAGTGCAGTCTATATTAATTATCTAATCATATACAATTTTATGTTTGATTTCTATATTTGTTGACTTATGTTGTGTTTGATTGAGAGATTTGGAAAGTGATTTAGAAAATGAAAAGAAAAACATATATGAAAATATGTGAAATGTAAGTATATTTTATTTACATTTCACTTATCTTTTCTCTTTTTCTTTCTAAATCCCCCAATCACAAACGCATAAAGTTTTCTACTTTCTCCAATTTTTTGGTTACGGATCTTCTTCCGCTTTGGTTGTAAACGACAATAAAATATATTATCAACTTGATTTTTTTGTATAATTTACTTGACAAGTTTTGCAAGTTGAATAGTTCAGATTAATCAAAAAAAAAAAAAAGGGTTTTTGCAAGTTGAATAGTTCAAATTAATCCAAAACAAAAAAAAAAAAAAAGAGGTTCAAGGGGAGCTCAAAATTATAGAAACGGAATCTTTTAATCCTAAAACAAGTTGGATTTCTTTTAAAAAAGTAATACAGAAGTGATGGAGCTTTCTATCTAGACTAATAACTATCATATTAAAGTACCACATAAATTTATTAGAGTAGTGAATAACATCCCAAACAACTACGACTACCCCACCAACAATTCTAGTGTCGTACAAAATTAGTTGAGGTCTCTGTGGACCACCTAAGACAGCTCTTACAATGACTACTGCCTTAGCACCAATCATGGAATTGGAACACTTCACATCTACATCTCTAAAGCAAACATTGAATGTTGGCTTTTCGGTATGAAATGGGGCTTAAATTGCCACATAATGTTGTTGGACATTAATGATGCCAATGATCTACCTTAACCTCTACAATGCTCTGGGATTGCTTGGCTAACTTTTTATAAGTCGAAGATTAATAATCAGAATACATAAGTTAATCTTGTTTGGTTCCAATTTTTTAGAAATTGATTTTTTTATTTTTCGTATTTATTTGTTTTTAGTGAATTGTTTTTAATATTGTAAGATTTTTTTTTTTTTTTTTACTTTTTAGATATACTTAACTTAGTTGTACCTAAGAAGTAAAATATTTATAAGAAAATATTTTAAAAAATCAATGAATATGAAAATGTATTGCATTTTTTTGTATTTTTTATATTTAGTGGATTTTTTAAAGATTTTTTTTACAAATATTATACTTTTTAATTGTATTTATATTAAAGTGTATCTAAAAAGTAAAAAATTTATTTAAAATATTAAAAAAATACTAAAAAAAAAAACTCAATTTTCAGACAACTGAAATCAAAAAATTAAAACCAAACAAGATGGTCTATTCCTTCAGTTTCTCAATAATTAGTTTTTTTTAAACTTATTTAAGTCATTTTTGTCTCATAAACACCAAGTAAAAATTACACTAACACATACTCTCAATTATAAACTGCACCAAACGCCTCAGAAATCCACTTTCAGGGCTAGGGCATTACACTTTTTTTTTGGGCCCTAATTCTATAACATTTTAGGCACGGGAATGATGTAAAATTTACATACAAAATAATATGGTTGTATTAAAATTTATTATTTTAAAATAAAATATTTACTAAAATAATATTTAATTATAAAATAATATTTTTTTATTTAGGATAAACTACTAATAGATTATAATAATTATATTTATTTCTTATCAAGTCCTATTGAAAATAAGTCTTACTATAATTGTCGTTAAAAATAATTTTGTGTGACGATTTTTTTGTGTATGTCACTAAAAATTAACAATTAGCGACTTTTTTTGTCATGATTTTTATAAATTGTCGCTAAAACTTTCAATTAGTAATATTTTTTTGTGACGAATTTTTCAAATAGTCGTTGAAAGTTAAAAATTAGTGACATTTTTTGTGACAAAATTTTTAAATTGTCGCTGAAAATTAATAATTAGTGATGTTTTTAATAGAGTTTGATAAAAAAAAATCATTAATTATCATAAAACTTATTGGACAATAAGTCCATTTATTAAGATTCACACGTAAGTCTCCCTTGAAGTACACTGACACTAATAACTTTTATTTAAGCATGACATGCACTTAGGGATGTAACTTTGGCATGGCTCGGCCCATGTCGGGCCTTGCAGGCTCCTGCCAAAAATAAGGCCAGCCCACTTGCTAGAAAACTAGGCCCAGGTCCAAGGGTATTCAGGCTTTGGACGGGCAAGTGGGCCGGGCCTCGGTCAAAGTTGCTGGGCCTGGGCCTAGGCTAGGAGTTTGGGCGGGCTTGGGCGAGCCTAAATTTTTTTTTTTAATTTTTTAATTTTTTCCACAAAATTTTATTATTTTCCATTAAAAATAACACTGGATCTCAAGCAAGCCGGGCCTCAGCTCGGGCTTTTGAGTGGGCCGATGGGCTGGGCTCCAAAACGATGGCTCAGGCCCAAGCTCAAGGCCTCAGGTTGGGCTTGGGCCCGGGCCTAAACGGGCCAGACCCACCCCAGGCTGCCCACAAGACACGGGCCATTTTTACACTCTTACATGCACTATAAAAAAAATTAAGATTTTAGAGACCAAAATTTAAGGATAAAATTATTTTTTAGGGTCCAAATATTTTTATTGCGAAAAGTGTTATTATTATATTTTTAGTAACGAAAATTTGACATTAGTGATGAATTATTATCCTTTTGAGACCAAATGTTTAGTCTAAAAAATAAACTCTTTTGAGATCAAACTATTTTTTCCTTAAAGTGTATTTGTTGGTGACATTTTCAAAATTTTGTTGCTAGAAATCTTATTTTTGACTTTTGTAGACTATCTTTTAATGACTATTCTCACAACGTTAGAAACTAGTTTCTAAATGTCTTTTGTAACAAAATTCACTTATAGAGACAAAAAAATTTGATTTCTAAAATTCTTATTTGTTGTAGTGACAGTTATATATATGTATATCTGCTTGAGCGTTGAAAACAATTTCATTTTTTTTAACAAAAATATAATAACTTAAAAGAGAAGTTTAATACAAAAGATATAAAGCGAGATAAGGGAAGGACACACCTATCCTTTCCAAAACAATATGCAAAAACCAAGTGAGTCGAAAAAAAAAAAAAAAGTTGCAACATTAGCTAAAGCATCAACAACTTGATTGTGCTCCTTATATGCAAAACAAAAATGAGTACGTAAAAGATTATGTAGGAGTTATAGGTAGTGATAGAAGAATTTAATGTGCACGAATTCTCGTCTGTCATTTGTATAGAACATGTAAAGTTCTAAAATAGTCAAATTCAATATTATAACTAAGAGAAAGTTCTAATATATCGAAATAAATGGAAGAAGGTTAACTTTGTGAGAGTGAAGGGAAAAAAATGCTACTTGTTGACATTCAAGTTTAGATATTATTGGTTTTTTAACTTTTGAAGGTTTGTTGTATTGTAATTTTAAGCGTGTCAGTAATGATTAATCAGTCCTTATAGAAGATTAATTATCAACCAATTATTAGACGATTGTATTTTAGTTCTTTCAGTATCAATGAAGAGGACTTTTACTGGTGGCTTGTTTAAGAGAATTTAGTAAACAACAATTAAATGAAGAATAAATGCAATATTTTATTAAGTAAAAATGAAAAACTTACAATAATCTAACTTAGTTTCGTAGAGGTTTACAGCAACAAGCTATTCGAAACTACTCCTATGAATGAAGTGCAATACAGGAATTTGAAGTAAAGAAATGTAAAAAACTGTAAAAACTGAAAGGAAAATAAAGTAGATAAAAACTGGTTGGATCTGAGTCTAGATGCTCATTTCTGGGGCCTTCTTAGTTATTTATACTTCTCAATGATAATCGTTGAAATGGATTCCTAACCGTCGAAATATCCTTTTATGATCGCTGATCATGTTCTCTCACAATCAACTCCCTCACAGTCAGCTCCACTACGCCATGTTTGTAGTTAGGTTTCCCTCCTGATTTTGAATTTGAACCTCGTGAATAACCGTTAAGCTACGTCACCTTATATCCCTCGATCATTCTAGTGTTACGCAAATCCATTATTACTAGTATGGGTTGACACGTGTCTGGCTATAGTTGGCAATTTATATTACATTTTTAAATTACCTTTTTCATACCACGTGCTAAACTGTGATTGACTTATACAATTTATACCGCCAACAGATATTATGAATGAGCTTGTTGGTCAAGATACAAGTGAATAAAGCTTGAGCAAATAATGACATTATTTGTTGTAGTAGTTTATTGAGTTATATTCATAATTTTTTTGTATTAAAGTGTTTAATGTTTAAAAGTTACCTATAGTTGATTTTTTGAAAATCGACGGAGTGTTCTTGAATTTTACTTTTTTATTATTAATTTTTAATTTAAAAAAATATACCAACCAATTATAAAATGACACTACATCACATAAAACCACATCGTGGTGGCAAAAAGGAAAATGACAAAGAATTAATGATTTCTGCTTTGGGGCTGTATGTCAATCAACTGCTATTTGAGTGGGCTTTCTTCAACAATAAGCATGTGCGAATCTGCATCATGTTAGCTCCACTTTTCTGTGAAAATAAATAATAATAATAAGGGAAATAATTTGGAGCCCTAAAAAAATCCCGACTTCCCCCCCCCCCCCAACCCCCCTAATTTCCAAAACGACGTTGTTTTGGGGAATTTTTTTTTTTTTTTT